CAACTGAGACTAATTACCCACTGACTTTGCACCCTGCTAACTCTAATGACGCAGATGAATATCCAATACATGAGCAGCCGTGGAAAACTCAACGATGGAAAAAGCCGCGAAATGAATGAAATCTTCATTCAACCGACCAACAGACTAGATCAAACAACGCTCAAATCCACCCTTCTTCCGCAGGAACCACTTTGAATGACAAGAGGCGATGAAATCTGGTACTTGTTCACGCACCTGAGTCCAATGATCCAAGTCCTCAGGCACGCTATGATCATGACGTAGAGTTTCTACAGAGCCTGACTGATAGGCTTCTAGATGTGGGGGAGGACGGAGTGAAAGTGAAGCAAGTCATCCGCCTCGGCAAAAGCACTACTGAGAAAGATCGACTTATGCGAGTAACTTTAGCTGACGAGGTCAGCCCGAAGTTAATACTGTCTAGGTTGGGTAGATTGAGGGGCGATATGATACATATTCGTCCGGATATCGATCCAGCTGATCTGGAACGCCTCAGTGTGCCACTATCGAGCAAAAGCGGCGAACTGGTGAGGGAGAAACAAACCTACGTATTGTAGATTTTCGGGTGATTACAACACCAACGCTAATTCGGATAAATCGATCGCTCACACTTCAGGCTCGCCCGGTAGTTTTTACCACAGCCTGCATGTAGCTTTCACCAACGTCTGCAGTTTTATGAACAAGCGCGATTAGCTGTGCCCTTTCGAACGACCAGATGTAATGAGACTCGCAGAGACGTGGTTGAACGATGAGGTACTCACCTAGGAAATTGAGCTTAGTGGCTACATGTGCTTCCGCTGGGATAGGCTATCGAGTGCCAATGGTGGCGTTTTGCTCTACATGCTGTCTTCTCTGTGTGGGAGACTCGTGAGCGTCCACCGTAACGAAGATGGCCTATGTGAGCAGTTGTGCTGCTCGATCCCCCTCAGGCGTGGAGAGCTGCTCGTGTGTGCATTCTATCGCAGTCCCCTGAGCCGTTGTTTGGATTGGCTGCCGCATCTCCGAGACCACATGAGTCGCTGTCATTTTCTACTCATAGGCGATTTCAATTGTCCTCGAATACGCTGGCCTGAAGTTGAACTTATCACCGGTTATTGTGAGGTCGAAGCAAAGTTCGCTGATATGGTACTTGAAAATGGGGCAGCGCAGCACATCTGCAAACCGACGCGCAACTCCACCGTGCTTAGACTTGACCAACTGTGAACAACCTGTGTATGACATTCGGATTCTGGAGCCTCTGGCAGCAGGCGACTACTCAGTTCTTATTGTCAACATAGAGCTGCCACTGCAGCAATCCCACAAAGTGCAGCCAGATTACAACTACTGGAAGACGGATTTCGACGGTCTGACTCGAGCCGCGCGCCAAGTTGATTGGTTTCTGCCGAAATCTGCATCTGCTGAAGCATATTGGTCAGTTATAAATAATGGAATAAATTCATTGTGTAAGCAATTTGTGCCTCTCAAGTGCCGGAAAATCGGACCGGTCAAATAACATTGGTTCGACAAAGAGTATGGCAAGCTGGCTAGGCAGCGGCGCAGGCTATAGGACACAATGCTTATCTCTGGCTCGGACGACGATTATGAGATGTATAAAAAGCAGCTAAATATCGGCAACGGTGTGAAAACCAGCAAGCGCATGCATTTCGAAGAGCAGCTTGCAACCGCAGCAAAAACCGCCCCAAAGAAAATCTGCGCCTGAGGTCGACAAGTAACCTACCAGTGATGGAGGATGAGAACGGACAGCCCCTTACCTATAGCACTGAGCGTGCCTCCGCATTGGCGGAGCACTTTGCTCCTGTGTGTGCAAGTAACTAGGTGTCTGTACCGAGTTCGGCGTGCATCACCCTTACCGAACTCGACAGACGGGATTGTGATGTGGAAAAGGCGTCAGCTACTCGACACTCTTCAGCGCAGCAAGCCTGCTAGGCGTGACGGGCTCCATCCCATGATTCTCAAATCGTCAGCAGATATCATCTCGTCTGTCGTAACTGACCTTTTCAACAGATCCCTGTCCGAAAGTACACTGTCGATTGGTTGGAAATGATCTGCGGTAAGGCCGATTCCGAAAGGCGGTGATCCAAGTAAGGTAGACAACTACAAGTCAATTTGTTTGACAACTATTCTGGCCAAAGTTTCAGAGAACATTGTGAAGGAACATTTGTTACCGCCGTTCCGGTCAAAAGATCTGACGCCCGCACATCATGGTTTCACGCTAGGTCCTACATGCATCACTAACCTGCTCATGACGAGGCATGAACGGTTGCAAGCAGTGAACCAATGGAAGTCTGTCAACGTGATCTACATCAATTTCAGCAAAGCGTTCGACTTGGTGAACCATAAGGTCCTCCTTCTAAAGCTGATAGTGTGTGATGTTGGTGGATCTCTGCACCAGTGGATCCAAGACTTTCTTGTTGGACGAAATTGGAGGGTACAAGTCGATAGCCACCTGACCGATTGGTATCCTTTGACCAGTGGCGTACCCCAATGTACGGTGCTAGGGCCTACATTATTCCTGATGTATATCAACGACTTAGCTTCTTCGTTCGCCATGTGCCGTGTTTTCAGACAAGCTGAAGAAATGGAATGATAAACGCGCCCGACGACTGCGGCTTACTACAACAAGAACTAAGCCGTCTTTCTGTGTAGTCTGCAAAAGTCCGCCTCCCAGTCAACTCATCCAAGTCGGTATTCATGAGTCTGGGGGAGGGTAGTGACGGCCGAACTTACACTCTCGACGGCCAACTGATACACCCCACACCTGTGAAGGACATAGAAGTACTCTCAGATTGCGACTTGAAGTCCGTTGACAACACGAACAGGCCATATCGTTACGGACTGCGCACTCAAACGTAGTTTCTGCATCTAACCTGAAGAGGTTGCCACTCGTTTCTTCTCCATCATCTGACCAATGCTAGAGTACGGCTCGCCCGCCTATTGCCCGACAACTCGTGGCAAGGTGCAGAAGATTGAACGGGTTCAACACGTCGCTAATAGACCCATCCCCAGTTTGCGAGGCTTAGCGTATGAGGACAGGTGCGAGAGAGTGGGACTGTTCACCCTGGCATACCTTCGGTTACGTGTCGACCTCATCAGGACCTACCGGATTCTGCGTGTAGGCGACTTCCCCATGCTGAGACCATTGCTCCACTTGCGGTAAACGCGGACACCAATACAAGCCTGTGGTTCCAGATATGAAGTGAGTTCCCCACCTCATGTGCTTGGAACGGTGAGTGGTAAATATCCGAAACGGTTTATCAGAACATATAGTGGAAGCGAACTCACTGAAGCTATTCAAAAGATCGTTGGATGTGAGTTTCTCAAATATTAGATTCCGAGAACGATTCCCCACAGGCATCTCGCATTTTTGAGTCCTAATCTACTGTGAGTTGAAGGATTTTTTAACGATATACTGTGAGAAGGTAAAAAACGATCAGCGTATTGACCAGTCATAGTTGCATTTTTAACGCTTGACCATATTTTGATGAAGTTGTACAGATTGAAATTTCTAATTGCACGCATAATACAGTATAGTATACATACAAAAGAAACGTTCATAAAAGTCCGGAGGTTATCGTTCTACGCCTTACGTTTGCGAATTTCCTCTGCCCCCATGATTTGATACTTCGCTTCGTCAGTACTTTTGTCCTTCCACACTGGACGTACTGCTCACAAGTGCTTTTCCTCGGTCTATTGGGCAAGGACTTGAGATTAAGCTCCAGGTCATTAAAACACTTGTCGCGATGTATCAAAGCTGATGTTTGGTGACATACTTGTACCTGCGCATGTTGATTCTTCCAAGAGACTACTATCAAGAGTACTTGCCGATACATTTATTGTGCATGTCGGAATGTGTCAACTTCGTCAACATGACAGAAATACAAATCCACATTGGCGGGGCCTTTGAATTGGTCATTACCGCTCTACCCCAAACTATCGTTCTTTGCATTATCTACTGCAAACGTATCAATTTTGCATAAATATTTTGACGAATTCTTTGGCTGAAAATTTTCAAGATCACCGAGGCCGCTCAACTCTACTGATCTTTGAAAAAGTATCCGAAACACCGCGCACAACTCGAAGTTTGATGTTTCTATCCAAATGAAACGAGTTATCAATAAATGTTTTAATATAAGTTGACCTCGTCCACCGGATGAAGAATCTCATAACTCATCCTATCAATATGCGATTGTTGCTCAAAGATGCGGGACTGATTACTTAAATGACATCCGTGCGATCTTTATCAGTACTGTTTGTAAAATTCTCATATTTACTAATGCTGGTTCATCACATTTGTGGTAGATATTGTAAAATGCTGAAAATTTATCCATCTGGGTGCATAAAGCTTTTCTTTACTTGACATATTTCCGCACACGAGCGTACCGTCCGTCAGTTATCCCTTACCTAGCGCGGTTTTTGCTAGACTAAAACAAAGTTGCCCAAGAATTAACAAACCGGATTATGCTATGATGATATCGCTTTACTTCAATCATTGGTGCACATTTTTGATTGCATTTATATCATACTGTATGACTGATAGCGTGTGTTACGACTAAGTATTCACCTGTTTTGGGTGCATAAAGCACTTGCTTGACTTGGCTGATAGCTGATTTGCACAACTAAATCGCACTTTTTGCAGAAGCCAAGAGACAGAGTCGGTCCAACTGTAATTAGCATGATTCATTTAGTTGATCACACATACGGATCCCCAAAAATTGGGCATAATCTCAAGAAACGGAAAGTTAGAAGCTTTGAGTGAATCAAGGTTTTCGTATAGCAACAAAGATGAAACCAGCTGTCATGACCCGATGCTATAGAAAGGAAATGTATCTGTATGACTGGAGATGGAACCGGTTGATGTCCAAAGTGAGTAACACCATAGACAGTAGTAATGCTATATATAAGAAAGGGCGATCGCCTAAATGTACTGTATTTGTCAGTTGATAAATGTAACTCTGATTAGAAATCGCATTGAAATTCTGTTCCAGACTCGTTCAAACACAACCACATCAGATTTACATTGGCCTCGAGGGAGCCCCATGTGTCAATTGGTGGTTCAACACCCTCTGCTGGAGAGTGCCACAGGATCGACATGCGGACAAGAGATCCGATGCTGCAGCCGGCTTTCAGACCACGATTAAACAACCCGAGACTTGTTCGCCTGCTCAATGGATAGGACAATGTTAAATGTGGAGCCGCAATCTTCTTCAATTACCTCATAACAGGATTGTTTTGAACCACATTTTGCTTATTTCACATGTCGAAAGATTAAGGAACGTCACCTGGATATTGTCGTTTGCAAATTGTGTTGGGTAAAATCCGTACGAAGAGAGGGTTAATGGGCAGGCGTTCGATCGCAATAAGAGAACCTAATCATTAACCGCCCCCGTTGATTCTATTAGCACACTGAGGTTAAGTTGAAAACCAATCCAAAAGCCAATTTTTCATGCGTCAGCCGAGCGTTCAGAAGTGTACAACAAGAGGTGATAGGGAACTGGTGATATAACAGGTAGACGAAAACCCTACATGTAGGGAACGCACAGGGATTTTACTAGAGCAGAAATTATGCTGCTTCATAGAAAAAAACGTTGAAACTATAGTCCCAACACTAGGATGAGGTGAGCCAAGCTATCATGACTCCACTCGGCAGGAGTGAAAGATGGCAAGATAAAATGACAGAATCTATAGTTGCCAAGGAATGAGTTAAAAGTGCAAGCAACCCAACTACTGATCAAACGTCCAATGAGTAGGTGGGTCAAGTTCTCTATCGATCGGTTGGTGCACCTTCGGTATGAGAGTATTTGAATGTATTGGGGTTTATACTAGTTAGAAAATGCCACACTGTGAAACAGGCGGTTGCTGAGCGCTTACTCTTATTATGAGCACGAATGGTATCCTACCGGACATGCTTTATACAGAGCGCAATTGGTTCCGGTTGAAATTAAGCAGCTGAGTCACTTGTACTTTGAAGAGCTTCGTCACGCATTTGGAAATGAGCCGGACGGCTTAGTTGCCATGTGGAGATTAATCGGAATCGTGAGTCTCCCACGAAGCATGTAGGGTTCGAATCAAAAAATGCGAAACTAATGTTTGAGTCATGGGTGACGGCGGTGAATCGCCTGGCCGGAGGACCAGTGGGGTTCAGGCGTCCGACTCGTAATCCATAGGCTGCCAGTGCGAACTTGTGTAAAGTAGGGCGACCTCACAGTACCCCTGGTCTGCACACAACTGTCGGTAGATGCGTGGCAGCGAACCGTTGGTATGGCTGGCCGCCATACTGCAGACATGACTGATCTCCAGCTTAGGAACAGTGCGATTCATGCGCAACTGGCATGCACCTTACCGGCGTGAAAAGAACAACGTTTGCCCCAGAGCCACGACTTCCCGTGTCACAGGTCCGAGAGGTTACTGATCGTGAGAGAGTAGTAGATAAGTTTCGCGAAGATAGTCGTCGCAGCCATTTGCGGAAGGTCAACGAAAGAAAGCAAAACAGCACGGTTTACGGTAGTGAGAGAAAAACTGCTAGTAAATCTCCAATGTTTGTTGGAAGTGTGAGATACGTGATGAGTATTGCAACACCTAATCACATGGCGCATGTCGACAAAAAGCAGAGGTGCGGATAAGCAGTTCAACATGCATTCGCGTGCAGGGGAACGCAATGCTAAGCGTTTAGACGATACACACATACACATGCCAGCACATGGTCTGAGGAGATTAGAACAACGTATTAAAGCACATAAGGCAGTTGCAAACAGACACACTGATTCGTGATGAAATGAGGCCAGTATGAACGGTCATCAGAGAAGCATAAAGCTATCTAATCCTGAGCTAACATAACGAAGACTGATAACAAGTCGCAGAAGCAAAAGAACGGTCGAATACTACTTCACAGATGATGTCACGAAGCAGCTTGATGAGGTCAATCGCGTAAAATCACTCCCCTCGGTTCGGAGATGAAATAGCGCGGTTTCGTGGTAATCAAGATGACAACGATAGCAAAGGACCAAAGAAAAATCGAGAAATGTTCAGAAAAGAGACCACTAATCTGATGTGGATGCTTTTGTTTATCAGCAGCGATCGCAGCAAGCATCGATATATTAAGGACTCGGCTGAGCTGCGTCTAGTGATGTAGAGGCCAGGAGTCGTGTCCAAAACAGTCGGTGCGGAGGAATCAAGTACAGGTTGTGGCATCAAATTCAGTAGCCGGTATCTCCTAGTGCATAAACGTACTTTTTTGAGTGTCTAGCAGCTGCCCTGAAAATCTGTAACTAGTGGTTACGGAGGAATTTCGAGACCTTAAGCTCACGTTTCACTGGCGGAAATGGAATCACTGTCATCAATGGGAGGTGACAAGCCTATTTCATGCTGGAATCGATGAACCATAAGATCACATCAGTATCTCATGAACCACATAGACAAATTACATCCGGTAAGATCAGGTGATGACAGACTATCAAACTGGAATATTGGAAGGCAAAAATGGATCGTATAAATATTCTGAGAAAATCGAGTGAATACATGACCAAAGCGTTGGCGATGAAAGACGAGCGATCTAGTGGGCTGGAGACCGCTGGATGGTGGCACAGAGTAGATGGTGTAAAATGCACGGGAGAAGAGGAATCGGTCAGGGGAGAATTACGTCAGGTCCAGGCCGGATGGGGGAAACCAATCACGAAACTGCGTCCATTGCACGTCTTTTACGTGAGAGACCGGCAGAGACGATGAGGAACGAAGTAGCCGATCCACCGCGAGATCAAGAGTAGCAAACACTGAAAGTTGGGAGAGAACAAGAAAATGGGATGCATGTATATGCATAAATGTATTGTTTTCGGCATGGGACATCAAACTGACGAGATTCATACTCGCGTGAGGTAAAGGTAAGGCCTAGCACTCACCTGAATCGGATGCCATTTGGGTGGGGTTACCACTCGCAGCATCAGGCTACGAAGTGGCTCAATTTTGCGGTCTACTAAGACAGAGATGTTTGGTGGCCAAATTCCTAAAGGATGACCCGCAGGCTGCAGTGTGATGCGCTATTTGCATAGAATAGTCATCACTGGTTCAATTATATGCGGCGACAGTATGTAATGCACAGGAGTATACAGAGGATATGATTCAGCCAGATTTCATAGCAATAGCAGTGTAGCAGCAAAGGGTCTTCTCAAACACCAAATGGGGAATCTCAGCACTGCTGACCCGGTATTTCCACCAGATATGAGCAAGATTCCGTAAGCACTGGTGATTAAATACGACTAATCTCTTGATATCTTCAGTGTGAAGTGTCATGGCTTCGATTCATACAACATCAGTGACCTTCCATACCACTGCATTGTACATCCTACCTTTAAATTACAAGCCGATATCCTGACGTCCCATGGATGACTGAGACATCGAAAAGTCTCTGTCGATGCGTAAAGTAGCATCCTCAGTGGTGTGATCACCAGTGCCGATACAGCTAACACACACACACACACACACTATACACGTTAGCTAGAGGTGGGAAACACCTCAGATACTGTGCCGCAATACCTAAAAGAAAAAAGGGAATAAAATGCAACAGGTGCAAGCCAGCTGAGCTACCGGTAACGGATGGGCATCGTTCCGGTAAGCTACCTGTCGACTACCATGCAGCAGCAAAATAATCATTTACTATGCAATATATAAAATGCTAAATAATGAGATCGTGCTTGGAGGGAGAGGCTAAGAGGGATGTGGTTGGACAAAGAAACTCATAGCACGAACGTTACTAAGGTCGGCTCTTAGCCACACCAACAAGTGTATCTAGGCAAACGTATACACCGTCTTTCGGACTCCAACCAGGGAGCCGAGACGCTCTAACTGAGACCAACTTCGAAGTGAGCGTCTTCATTCCTCTGGACCAACTCACTGCTTGGCCACCTCTCCTCTCGTTCCATCCACACCCCCAAAGCGCAAACAAAGTACGTCGCGGGAGTCGGTGGGCTGGCATGCGTAACACGTGGGATACAGCTAACAAGGTAGGCGAATCGGTTGACCACTTTCAGTGGCTTATTAGTGATGGCTTGAACCGGTGGCACGCTGGTGACACATGCGGAAAAGTGCAGCGCTATGTCTAAATGTAGTCGGTATCGCTTGCACGGCTGTTGGATCCGGCCTAAGGAGAGCTATGTCCTTCGCAAACTCAAGGTTTGTCAGTTGGTCAGCTGACAAAACCTCCACTCTAGGGTAGGTTGAGAGGACAGTTACCTATGTTCATCTCGATCACAAACGACAAAGAAAAGAGATTTATAACAATTCTATTTGAACTGGGGAACTCGAGAGACAGCTTCCCATAGACACTTATCCGGCTTTGAGAGTCGCGGTAGGGAGAGCCTGGAACAGATGGGACTGTAGCTAGTACGCCTTTCAAGGATAAGCTGTCACAAACTGTCACTATCAACTGAGTCAAAAGCGGGCTTCAAGACAAAGGAAACCATCAGTCAGTTGCTTGTAAGTGTGTCACTGTTACAGTATCTGATGAGGTGAAAACATTTGAGCAATGCGTCCTCGACCACGAATAAAGCTGGTTCGGGTTCCACTGAATTGTCTATCATAAAGATTGATGAGTCGACGCGGCACGGTGATTGTAAACAGTCTCGAGGTAGTGGCAATAAGGTTAACGCTTCAGTGATTTTCACACCATGTCATGCAACCCATTTAAAAGTGGGGGGGGGGTGAAGGTTAACAATGGCCAGCTCGAACTAACCACTTGATTGCCTATATGGTGTTAAATAGAACGGTTAAAGGAGCCACCAGTGAGTTTAGCCGTCTTTCAGTAAATGAAGACTGTTGAGACTAGATAACTTGTTTCCTTACAACAGTGCGAGTTCGTCTAATTTATCACAAAATGAAAAGCGTGACATTAACGTCTAAAGCAATTTCAGCTGAGAATGGGGCGACTACCTATCCTCCTTAGGTATAAACTCGCTAACTAAAGACCTCCCTGGAGGCGTGTTCCGGTTGAACTAGAACGGTGCCCGGTTCTTTCTAATGCCGGCGGCACGCACCGATGGACGGGTTGTGGTGGCCGCTGATTTTACGGATAACCTGCCTGAATATACTGTGTCGCCCCCAACTAGTCCAAATTGCCACGAGGGATTCGGATTCGTAATGTATGAGAGCATCGTACAATAAATAGGTTGTACGCAACTACTAACACAACAATATTGGGGATGCCAATTAATATTAATTAACACAACTCAAACGGTGCAAATTCATGGTCCAACCTGCCGCTGTTCCCACACAGATTCAGGTTTTGATCTCTACTCGAATTCGATATCTAAGTATAGATCGATCCACTATTGCATCACTGCTTTCCACTTGATCACTGACTGTGAGCTTTCTCTCTGTAACACCTCCCTCGCGCAAACTGACGTAGGGCTTCCGTCTTGGGACCAGGTGCATTCTAATGACGGGTCTTCACACCCGATCACTCCATCATCGCGGCTGCAAGTTCGTTCCTTTTTGTGGTCACTGCTAAACGCTCATTAGGTCCCTACTGTGTCCCAGGGTGAGTGATTCACCGGATGGAGAACACCTGTTCCCTGTAAGCGATCAAGTTCCTGGTCAACTATTGGTGTTGTTGCGTAAGGCATAAGGTGCCTCGTGCGAAACACGGGAACGGCATCGGGCTTAAGGGACAGTGAAGTTTGTACCTTCGTGCACTTATTAAGGCCTTCCCGAAAGGTTGCTGTATACCCCTCTCGCAGGCGCTCAATCGCCACTGATGGACAACTGCACAGAGTTGCAGAATCTTGCATTTTTGTTTGCAGGTGATTTCGCCGTCTGGCGACAAGGGGCCTTTTGATGCATTTTGACGCCTACAGAATGCGGCAATTATCGCAGTGGGGCTTCTGATTCGGCACGTTTGGATTCACGTTCTGTCCTTCATTAGCTGTGTGGTGGATCTGCAGTTCACATCTGAGACCTGAATTGTCATCTTTTTTGGTGTCTAATCCCAAGTTGGGCTGCTTGCATCCCACATCTGCAATGTCCTCTGACACCAGCTCTCGCTTTTGGTCACATTCTGCTTGAATGTGACTCGCCATTAAATAAAGTCATTGTCCATTGTTGCACTCCAGTGGAGTATCGTATTCCAGGTGCCAGATATTGTTATGGTGGGGAGGATTGGGCCCCTGCTTGGTACTTGACCAAACGAACAGCGTATGAACCGAGTAATCGGTCACCGGCTCCCAATGGGCGCGATTCCCTGAATTCGCCCCGCTGCCTTGCGGGTAGGCTATTGAGCCAAAGGCTCGGGGTGGCGGCCCCCTAAGACAACCCCTACTTCGGCCTAGGCAACCGGGTAGTATCTCGCCTACTGATGAACCATGGAACTGAACTGCACTCTTCGCTCTACTGATGCTTTGCTCTCATGCTACTATTGCAAACACTTCCATCACACGCCACTCGCTTATCTACTCTTCCCCTGTATCATTCTTCCCCGTTTTTGTCTGATCAATCAACGATGAGCAGCATTGCTTCCTCCGATATCACTGTTGCCGCTCCATCCTCTGACATAATCACACAGCGCCAAACCGGGATTGAACAGTCCCGGATTCTCACCTCTCCGCTTCTGCAACCGAAGACACAGTTCAACTTGGCGGCGTTCAATGTGCGCACCTTAAAACAGATTGGGCAACAAGCCGGTCTCGCGCGCACTCTAGAAACCCTTGCAATTGATGTCTGTTGTTTGTCCGAAACACGACTTCAGGATTCCAGCACAGTCTACCCATTGTCGTCACCAATTCACCCTTATACCCGTTTCCACCTTCGACTTTCTGGAGACGCCGAGGATACCGCATCTGGGCAAGCTGGTGTTGGGGTCCCCCTTAGTGCCAGAACGGAAGCCGCCCATTTCGAATGGATTCCGATCAACAGTTGGCTTTGTGCTGTCAGGCTCCATGGCTCGTGCAAGGTCAATAGGTGTCGAGAAGACAAACGTGCTCTTTTTGTAATCTCCGCCTATGCTCCCACTGAATGTAGCCCAGATACTGTCAAAGACCAATTCTATCAGAACCTTCATGATTCGCTCTTAAGGGCCCCCAAAATGGACATCATTATTATGGCGGGGGATTTCAACTCCCGTGTTGGTCGTTGGTTATCAAGCGAACGCCATCTTTGAAGACCGCATGGACACGACAACTTTTGCTCAGACAGTGGTAAAAGACTACTCAGTTTGGGTTCCATCCACCAACTTTACCTCTCCAGTACGAATTTTCGCCACCCTAGACGTCACTACGCTACCTGGCACGTTCCATCACCTCCTCAACGTTGGTCACAGATTGACCACGTCGCCATAAGTCATCGCTGGTGTGGCAGTATTCGGGACTGCAGATCCTACTGATCAATCTGCATGGAAACTGGTCATGCGCCAGTGCGTGCGTCGGTTTTCATGTGTTTCGGTGGCTCGCCTAGGACTAGACAAACTCGACTTAACTCTGGTAAACTGGAAGACCCCACCGTGCAATTGGAATATGAAAAGCAGCTTCAGAGAACCTTACTTCTCCGCCTTCTCGGGACGTTGATCAGCATTGGTCGCGATTGCAACAGATTATGTTTTCAGCGGGTTTATCCAGTTGCGGTCTTGTACGTTGCACAACTAAAAGTTGGATCTCGGCCACCTCCGCGAAACTTCTCGACTATCGACGAGCTATACCCGTCAGTGTTGAGCCCACTGAACTCCGCCGTTCTATTTCCAGACAACTGAAAGTGAGTATTCGACGTGACCGTGAATCCTGGTGATCTAAACAGGTCAACGAAGTGAAAGTTATTGCCTCTGCTGGTAATAGCCTCAGGTTGTTTTATCTCATTAGATTCACCGGACGCAAAGTTCAGGCCATCAGTCAGACCATCTGTGAGTCAGACGGTACAAAGATCACCAATCTACGCAGATGTCTGGATCGCTGGGCAGAGCACTTTGCTCTACAGTTTAATTGCCCAACACAACCTCCGGTTACACATCCACTGCCATCATGTGATCCTTGGTCAGTCTGCATAGATCCTCCCACTGAAGCAGAAATACGGAGAGGAATCCAGACTCTGAAACGCCACAAAACTTCTGTCCTTGACAGTCTTCCTCCGGCCTTATTCAAAGATAGGGGAACTTAGTTGTCACCGAAATTCTATCACTGTTCACAAAGGTATGGAGCGATGAGAAAGTTCCTAACTCATGGAGAGAATCTGTTGTGGTTCCGATCCACAAGAAGGGCTCTCGTAGTGAATGCACCAACTACCGAGGGATCTCACTTATCTCTATCGCGTCTAAGATGTTTGGGTCAATTCTGCTGCGTAGGCTCTCAGTTACCCGCGAGAGTTTGTGTCGTGAGGAACAGGTTGGCTTTCGTTCTGGCCGTGGTTGCATTGACCAAATTTTCACGTTGCGTCAAATTCTCGAACATCGTCATGTCCACCGAAGACCAACAATGGTGATGTTTTTGGATATCCGAGCCGCTTTTGATTCAGTAGATAGGTCGTCACTGTGGAACTGTCTGCTACGGAACGACGTTCCCGACAAGTTTGTCATACTCTTGAAAGAGCTGTATAGTCACACCTCTGGCAAAGTTAGAGTTTATGGCAGGCTTTCTTCTTCGTTTCCTATTACCAGTGGAGTGCGCCAAGGTTGTCCTATCTCGCCGTTCTTGTTCAACTTTGCCATCGAAGATGTCCTACATCGCGCACTGGAAGGAGCCCAGAGCTGCGGCGTTGAGCTTCTACCCGGAAGCAGTCGTGAACCTTGACTATGCTGACGACATCGCTTTGCTAGGGGACGACTTGTAGGTTGTTCAAACCATTATGAACCGCTTAGCGATAGACATCTAATTTTGGTCAGTATATTGCTTCATCCAAGTGTAAGGATTTGCTCCAGTATTGGAAAGCTCCTGTGCCTACGCTCACATTTTCGGGTGTCAGCGTGGAGGTCGTTAACAGCTTTACTTGCCTCGGGAGTTGCATTACGGCTGGTAGCGGTATTGGCGATGAAATTTCACAACGAACTGCCAAAGCTCGCCTTGCATTTACTAACCTGAGACACTTGTGGCGTCGTCGCGATGTTAGTCTCAAGCTCAAAGACCGAGTGTACAATGCCACAGTTCATGCTGTCTTATTGTACGGCTGCGAGACATGGCCTGTTCGATCGGAAGATTTGAGACGATTGTCTATTTTCGACAACCGCTACTTGCGTTCGATTGCTCGCGTATGGTGGCAGCACCATGTGAGCAACGCGGAAGTTAGAAGCAGCATCATGGGAGCGAACAGTCCTGGTCTCCAGAGCATAATCATCCAGCATGGCTTGTGTTGGCTCTGCCACGTACTGTGCATGCCGGCCCACCACCTTCCACCTCGCGCATTAGTTGCACTTCCTGGACGCGAATGGAAAAAGAGCCGCGGCGAACAACCGATGACCTGGAAAAGGAGTATGAAGATTCTAAATTCGTGTCTAGCGTCAGTTGGATCCGTGCGTCTCCCAGGCTGGGGACCAAGTGAAGCGAAATTCCCAATGGCTGGAAGTCTTGGAGGATATGGCCCGCAATAGGAAACAATGGCGTCAATGCTGTTCTACCATCTCTCCATCCTGTACTTTTTAATGTTGAACAGAGAATAAAACAAAAAACTCAAACTGGCGTGTGTGAAACTGAAAAAAACATTTTTCTAACGTTTTACTCTCTCCTCGCTGAACATTATATTCTCCTTTCCCTACCACCATGGTTCGGATGGCACATTTGTCTGTTTAAGACTTGATATATATATATATATATATATATATATATATATATATATATATATATGAATGTTCAACTACTGTCCCGGCAAGTCTGTCAATTGCCGCCGTGATTCTTCAAACATTGACTTCTGGACCTGAAAAAGCGTCTGCATTTGCTCCGAAGTGATGGTTGTAAACTGGAGTTACACTGTTCGTGTGAGTGTCTCCATCATTTTCAGCTGTACGACCTAGAACTGCTGCTACTGTTGTCGCAAAATAGTTTTCAAGTCTTCGAATGAGATAACCATCTTGAGTAAGTTTACCTCCTGTCGCCAGAAATAGGTTGTGATGCCCCCAGAAATTTGTTGTGGTTTCCGCTGACAGTCGCCATAAAGTATGTTGTGGTAGCCGCTGGTTTTACGAATAATCTGCCCGTGTATAGTACCTTCACAACAGATGATAACACGAAAGGAAGAAAATCAATGTGAACGTGTGGAACAAACCAAATAATGCAAACAATGGGTAACTGTGTGGGGTAAAAAGCACTTCTCCCATTACAACACATTAATGTGCCAATGTGATGATAAGGTGTTATTAAAGCAGGAGTGCTAATAGGAAAACATGCATGGCACAGCGTGGTACACGTGTAACACCTACCTTCGGAATCGTTTGATTTGAGCAAAAGCAGTCTGTGAGTAAACTCTTTGGCAACCGCCTTGAATACGTCCTGAAAAAAGGAAAAAAGGATCGGGGGAGTGATTTCTATGGTGGAACGAGAAAAACACATACAACAGGAATTCTGGTCAGCATGGGTGATGACCCATGGGTACAATTTCATAGGCACCAACTGACAGCTGATTGAAGAGAACCGCTCTGTTAGTAAGGTGAGATGCGACACAGCAGATGCCCGGCGATTGGTTAAGTTTGTTTCGCGAGTATAGACAGCTGTCGTGTTTAAGAAATAATCCATCTGTATATATAGTTCCGTTGCTACGAGAATAGAGGAAACAAAAGGATCAAAAGATTAACCCGAAAGGAGTTAAATTCACCAAAACTAGACGCGGTCAGATGACCATCAGACTCCAGAAAGCACTCCGCGGTCGTTTCGTTCTTTTGGGAATTCTTAGTATGGCATATTGCGTCTAACCGATGTGGGACTATAACCGGTGATCGCACCCTCGCGAGTCTGTGATTAAGATCAGTGGGTCACGAGGGGCGCAATAACGAAGTATCTATGTTGTTAGTTATGGTATAGCGTAGCCCACATTTTACTGACCTGCACGTTACTGTGGCGTAGAATGCAGTTAGTAAGGAAGCAGTTGTAGGGAGGTTCCCCTCTACACCGCCCAGCAATAACGCGCAAGCCAATGGGCAGTGATTCGTGCAACTTGGTCTTGTGGTCACTGCAGTTCCCAGTGGCTCAGTGGTCTCAACCGTGGAAGTGTGGAGTCCAGGGGTCTAGTCCCACAGGGAAGTGATGGAATGTACATTGCAGACGATTCCGAAAAGACGAAACACCCGTCTAGCATCTCTCCAGACATGCGATGGCATCTTGAATTTAGCTGTAATAAACACCACTTATATCATCCAAATCCGCCTACCACTCTCTTGTATTTATCAGAATAACTAACGGAAATAGTGGGTACAGACGTCCATGTAGAAATGCACAAAACCCCGGTCCCAAAAGCACAGGCACATGCTCAAAGGACCGAGCGCACTCCCGAAATGTGCAGGAAACAGCGCTGACGTAGTTCACAAAATCATCAGTGGTCAATGAGTATTGATCACTTTTGTTTGTGTCTTTAATCACACACGCCCTATGAACCGGAATCACGGAAAAGCAGTATAGTACTCATCGCTGTTCGGGCGCTGTGCTAAGGCTGAAGCAACAGCAGCCAGCCGCCGTAATCGGGTTACGTCCAAGTAAACTAGTGCATGTGTGATGACACCTTCATCGCAATGAGACTGGACCTTAACGTGGTGCGAAGGGATTGGTTACCTCGTCGACCCATTGAGCTATACTGGGTGGTGCCCCCAGGCCCTTGAGAGCTACTCCTACCAGGTTCATATATGGTCCTTCAGATTGGGGGGTTAGTATGGGATGGCGTCCATTTCTCTGAAAACCGGACAGTTGCCACATCCGCTGCCTTGCGGACAGGCTTTTGAGCTAAAGGCTTCGGTTGAGGATATCAATCGTCCTCCTGTCTAGGTCTGGGCACCCTGGCAGTATTTCAGCCCACCTACAACCATGATCATTTCTTCAAAGTTCAACCATATCCCGTACCGGCCGTCGCGCAGAATATTAAGGGTCGCCTTATGTGCTGCATACAGCAGGACAGATAAACGAAAACATGCCACTGCTGGCGTCTCACTTCTTTCCATTCCACCTGTTTCTCTTCACCCCTCCCAACCAACTGTACTTACCTTTCTTCTATAACTCCAAGTTTAATTGATAGCAGCCATAATCCTGCTGGTGTTATATCATCTGTAGCTATCTACCCGCATCACCCACAGTCCCATATAAGGCCACGCTGCTCGGTTTCCCTGGCGGCGTTAAGGTTCGCACTCTAAGACAACTAGGTCAACAGGCTCCACACGCACGCAGGTTGAACACTTTTGGCATTGATGTGTATTGTGCGTCTGAAACTAGGATCAATGACCCTAACGGAGTTGTTGAGTTAACCGCTCGGCTTGTTCTCTCGCTATTGGTTGCACGCATCCGGAGACGCTGATGCGGAAATCAATGGTCAAGCTGGAGTGGGCATTGCTCGCAGCTCCAAGGCGGAGTCATCCTTGGTTGATTGGATTCCCTTGAACAGCCGTTTGTGTGCAGCTTGTTTGACGACACCAACTAAGGTTGATTCACAAAGCAGTGAGTAGTGGTGTTTGTTTGTGGTTTTCGCCTACGCTCCCACCGACTGCAGTTCTGATGCTGCCAAGGACACAGTATACCACGACGGAAACATGCTACTATGCAGTTTTACCAGTTTAGATATCATAGTAACTGCAGGGGATATGAGTGCACAAGTAGGTCGCCTGGGCTCCGCACAGGCTCTGCTAGGTGGTAATTATGGGCTTAACTCCGAACGAACGGACAGCGGCAAGCGCCTGTTGCAACTGTGTGCAGAGGATCAGCTGTTTCTTAATGACACTGCTTTTAAACACAGTGGGCGCCGAAGTGTCACTTGGCGTCCTCCTGTGGCTGGCCAGCGATGGACCCAAATAGATTACGTCGCCAGAATTTAGCGGTGACGTGATTCCATCAGGGATTGCCGCTCCTACTGGAATACTTGCGTCGATTCTGATCACGCTTTGGTACGCTGTCGTTTTCCATAAACTTTACCAGGGGGTGTACCAAGCGTCTCCCTCGATTGGCAACTGAGAAATTATCTCCTTCCTCGGTCAGGCAAGCCTACCAGGATGCACTGCGTACCGAACTTTCGCTGCCTTGTCCTAATGACACTGAGCTTCAGTGGAATAGGATCTCGGCCGCCATGCACGATGCAGGAGCATCTGCTTGTGGTACTATCAATCGTCACCGCACCAGTCACTGGATATTCGAGAGGTCTATGGAATTGCTGGAATGCAGAAGGAATCACAATGCTGGCTCCGAGCACGATATGAGCAGACGGACTATTAGGCGCGAACTAAAGCGGAGCCTGCGTGCTGACAAGGAAGCCTGGTGGACCAGTCAGGCTCAAGAAATGGAGGAGGCAGGAGCAGTAGGCAATTATCGCAAGCTCTTCCAGCTGATCCGCACCACTGGTCTCAGGAAACCAGGCGTCAGTGAGACAATCAGAGACAGCGCGGGTGCACTGATTCACAATAAGGAGAGCCCTATAGCTTGTTACACAGAGCACGTACAAGATCAGTTCAGCTGGCCCCCTGCTTCCGGGCTTCTTCCTACTCAGGTGATGCAGGATGAACCATGACCGGTTATTTTAGAGGTTGCAACGGAGATTGAGGTCCGAAAGGCCATCAAGGCCCTTCATCGTGTCCGTGCTGCTAGCCCAGATTCCCTAGTGTCTACACTATTTAAGGATGGAAGTGAGGTCCTCAGCAAAGCACTGATCTCCCTGTTCGAACATATCTGGAAGAAATAGATCGTTCTGGCTAATTGGAGCGAATTGAGTAGAGTGGCATTATACAGGAAGGGTAGTCGCACTGACTGTGCTAACCAAAGGGGCCTTACCCTAACGCCAGTTGTGAGAAAAGTACTGGTCTCAATTCTCGTTCGCCGCCTCAGTGCGGAACGGAAATCCCGCATTAGGGAAGAGCAGGCAGGTTTCCGCAAAGAACGGGGCTTTATAGACCATATATTCACTCTGCGGCAGGTGCCAGAGAAGCGCCACACGAACCGGAGACAGACAATAGCTGTGTTCCCCGACTTCAAGAAGTCGTTCGATTCAGTCGATCAACGCATTCTGTTCAAAATATTTGCGCGGAAAGATGTTCCCATGAAATTTGTGAATATTTTACATGCTCTATACTCAAACACAACAGGCCGCATCAGGGTCTACGGCGACCTGTTGGATAACTTTCCGATAACAAGTGGTGTTAGTCAGGGTTGCTCAATTTCCCATTTTTGTTCGACTTCGTCGTGGACTGTATTATGAAGTGCTCCGCTTCGGAATCATACGATGCAGGTGTTGTGTTGTTTGGTGAAATGCTTGTTGATCTTAAGTATATGGACGATATCGTCTTGCAGTTTAACGATGTTGGGAAGGCGCATCCAACCCTGTATAGCTGCTTCAGCAACGCTGGGCGCAAAGCAGCTGAAGTCACTTCACCTATCACAAAAACCAAAACAGCCTTCTTGAAGCCTTGACTGGCGACAGAAAGGAGTTCCCCCCGGGCTCAAAGAACGTGTTTACAGGGCTACAGTGAGGGTCGTCCTACTCTATGGGAGTGAGACGACCCATTCGGTCTGAGGATGCAATACGGCTTCAAGTCTTTGATCATCGCTGTATGCGAAGCTTTGCTGGTGTCGGGTGGCACCAGTGTCCGCAACGATGATATGCGTAGGCGAGTACCAGGAAGTGGTAACCAAGTTAGTTCCTTAGAACAACAGACAGCACTGAATAAGTTGCGCTGGCTAGGGCACGTGCTATGTATGACTGGTCACCGCTTACCTAGGAGAGCCTTGCTTAGTCTGAGAGAAGTAGGATGGCGCAAAGCTCGAGGTGGACAGAGGTTGACTTGGTAGCGGGAAATGAAGTCACTGAGGACCAAACTGGGTGCCGTTGGTCTTACTTGCCTTCCAGGCTGGAGTCCAGATGACCCGCATTGTGCTAGGCTCGCAGCTGAAACCAGTGGCGCGCCTGCCGTCGTCTCCTAGTCGGACTGCCTGTTTGGTGCTGCGAGTAATGGCTATGACGCGGGGCAGTGAAAGCCGCGAGATGTCTCACCGATGTCGCCTTATCTTCGCACGATATCCAGCAGTTTGTAACGGTATGCTGATGAGAGGATGCAGTGGTCTTGGCCCTGAGTGTTTGTTCAGGGAATTAAGATTTTCCGGTAAATCCTCCTCCTTTCGCTCTTATTATTCTTCTCACCGTAGGTATTTGTGGTTGTATGGCGGCGTAGCATCAGTTCAAATGGTTGATCTACCGCTGTTGATGACGATTATGATGATGACGCCTGTTTGATGACTATTCATGACTGAAACGTTAAGCTTAGCTAGATGCAAACGCTGTCAAGGTGACTTCAAACCGTGGGGTACGCCGGTTTTGATCACTATTTTAAGTAGACTGACTGCGACTCACTGCACAGTGGGATGCAGTGCACATCCGGCCTAACAGTGATTAGATGAAAGCGACAATGGTACAGTAACCTTCACCTAGCACGGGATATGTGATCCCGTAAAGTAAAATCCAATGAGTAATAGGTTACGATCGAATATGAGCATGGAGCTCACAAAATACGCACATACAATTGTGACGTAGTCACAACCTGAATCGCGAGGAGAATGTCGTGCTGATGGACAGGAGGACAACCCGACACGACTGTGGTTCCAAATCACAGGCCATAGATAGGCCTCATGCCTTTGGATCCAAACTGGATACGGGGTGAGCGTTTGGAGCAATAAGAGATAACTAGGACCCCTGGTGGACACAAATCCAGTGTTAATATCACAGAGAATGTCGATAAACGAATTTAGACACGAATGCTGTTAATCAAAACTGCAGGTAGAAGATTGCATGGATGACTCAGTGACTGTTACGTCATTTGTAGAAATTCCGGTCCATTCTACCCGTGACTGTCGGGCACAATGATCCTAAATTAAGGTGATTAGGAGTGAATGAAGTGGTGACGATCACGAAGAGTAAATCCATTCAGGAGAGGGAAATTTTAGCCTCGTCGAAAGGGGAACCGACTAAATCACTGTAAAGATGGGTAATCTCTTATCTCTGTAACTGATGCATTGAGTGTAACACACACGCCATTCGAGACCGTTGGATATGCATACCGGTTTTATAGTTATCTATCACTGCAGTAGAGCTATTGGTGATCGATTGGGCCTAGGAGGTCGAGCCATGGTGGAAATAGCATAGGCTTCCAACTCATTGGCGGTCAACCCATCCAGGTGGCCGTTTGTGACATCCTCGTGACCACTACTGCTGTGTGATTCCCATCGGCTATCTACCATAGCAAGCGAGTGTTCGTATTCTGCACAGCCACTTATCGATTAACTTAACGAAAAATACCTGATCGATGCGTTGTATAAAATCCTGGTTATAAAACAGTTTGGCGACAGTTTGCCTGACGTGCTTTGCTTTGCGCTACTGCGACCAATAGCTAGCTGCGGAGTACTAGTTCCACATCTGCTAGACTGTAACACTTGGCGAGGGAGATCAAAGCTTGAACTAATTGCGATTAGTCACTTACCGCACCTGTTGTTTTGGAAGGACACGTCGTCTAGGCCATCCGTAGTAGTAGTGGACAACGTGATGTAACATTGTAGCATATCACTGCATTGGTGGAAGCATATAATGAGTGATATAGAAATCGAACTAATCCTGTCGCCACACTGGAGTGTCTCCTGAACCTGAACCGCCATGCTGGCTGTCACGTTCCTCGTTTTAGCACCTGTCAACGCCGAATCGGATTAAGAGAAATTGCGAAATGTCCAGTCGATTAGTTGGGAGAAAATAATGTGGAACCCAACAAGATGTCTAGATGCGGTTGATGTTTGTTGCCTCCTTTGAAGTGGACCGTTCGACTGGAACTTTAGACACCCTGTGCGTCATAGTGATGAAGAGAAGTTAGTGGCAGTCTTGAACCTGTTTCGTTACTTATGATCGAATTGCCCCACTAAACGACGTTAAATGGTTATCTACTCTTGAGTTATTATCACTTGTGAGTAAAGGGTCTTCGACGTAATTAAGTGAGGATTATGCGCAGTAGGTTCTAAGTCAGATAGCATTTCATATGTAGCATACAGCTGCTGTTGAGGGAATTGGTGATTCTAGATGCAAATATGGTCTGTGCAACATCCGGAGCTTGTATGACAGTAGAGGATGAGTCCCGCTATATCGCAGTTAGTTTGGAAGTCATCACCATCCGCCGACGTCACCCGTGGCATAAGGCGCTGACTAACAGCTGAGGTAATCCACCTTGTATAATGATGATAATGATAACAAACGGTGCAAGACACTAGTGTCGAAAGGCAATAGGTTCGGTTCCTGATACAGTCCCGTGATGTGCAACACTGAAGAGTCCCGATAGGATGAGATGGTGTCTAGCGATTTTCTGAATGTGTGAAAGGTCACGACTTGGAAGCTACTGCGAGGAACCCACAAGGAATTATTATTATTATTATTATTATTATTATTAATCGTTTTAATATGAGTCAAGGCTTTTGGATTCCTCGCAATTTCTTTCACGCAACTTAATCAAGCAATCTCGTGAAGAATGGTCCAAACAAATAAGTACGGGCATTTGATCCGTTAGACGCTGCTGCCTGTGTTTAACTCCAAGCGGAGGATAGATATAGAGTGAAAAAAGGTTAGCATTCATGCGTGCAGATGTGTAGAGATCATGTAATGGCACATGGGCCAGTCGGCGGATGACCAATGGTTACTACGAAGCTAGCAATTGATAAGCGCAGCCGCGTGTGTGCGTGTGCGAGAGCTTTGCCTATATTAGATGAGGATTCGAGCGTTTTTATCAAGGCACAAGCTACCACGAGTGATGGCTAGCAATTGTCCGTTACCGGACAGGTATAAACCCTGAAAGATCAATTAGGAAAATATGAACACGTAGGCGGTAACTGACCTTCGATTGAAAGCGTCCTTTGGCAAAATGGCGAGACAGTGAGGCCACAACGCGCTTTGCCAATGCAGTAGCCCGTTCGGATGAGCCCGGCTTTACCTAAAAGGATACGTAAGAGAGGCGATGCGGCATGGGTCAGACGGGAGATACTCAACCTGGATTCTGATATCCCATCCACGCGTGATTCATAATAAGCAAGTCAGAGGTTGGAGAATTCATCATTTCGAACCAAAGGCCAATAGTGGAGAGACTCTTTAGGCAATGAGCTGTTGGCCCCACGGTGGAGTGGGAACTATAAGACACAGAAGACTTACCAAGAATGAGATCATTGATCTCAATGATTTGATCTTGAATTCCAGACCGAGGGAAATTAGGCCAAAGAAAGGGGAAACTAACGCAAAACAAGCGATTGTAACCATTTAAGTGTAAATACAAAGTGCTGTCCAAACAAGTCTTACCAGTTTGAGAGTAAAACCTACCAAGACCGTAGAAGTGAAAAAGACTGAGAACATAGACATCCGGTTTGTTCGGTTTCCTACTTAAAAATTTGGAGGATGGATATAGAGCGTGAGACAAAACATTGGATTACATTATAGTTGGGGGAGTACGAATGAAACAGTTTGCTGAATAAACGTTTTGCACACAAAGACACCAATACTGTTTGAAAAGCCAGTGTCCTCATGGAAGAAGCTGGATCATAATGCAAACGTGTCATATGCTGCATAGCAAAGTACAGCTACGATATAAAAATGTAAGCTTAGGGCAGCTGATTTACGAAAAATATCAGAAAGCTTCCTACGACGCTAGAATAAGTGGATTATATGTGCTGTTTCCTAAGATTGGTTCAGTAATCATCGCACCGTGAAACAAGGGTGAAAGGAAAGCACGATTGTGATTGACAGAACGAGATGGGTCGAAAAACGCACTGCTAGTGAAAACACCTTTGACGTTTGTGCACTGTAACGTTAGGCCATGACTTGAGACGGGTTGGTCAACATCAGTTACAAGGATACAGTAGCGTAGTGCTGGTGGTGCCACATACCCCAGCAGTAGCATTAGACGAACCGGGTGGCTAGCAGATGAAATTCATTAAGTCGTTGACAGATGACAGGGTTCAGTTGGTCTTCAAATCACAACTGAACTAACTAATGTGCTAAAGAATTTCAATTCACATATGGTTTCCTGTGCTCCGGTCTACTATCTTGATCATACGCTGCTGATTCGCTTTACCGTTGCTCACATCACGGAGCATTATCACACGAAACGAAAAAGCGTGGAGATCAGTTAGAAGTGATTTTTCAGTTCTGAAACCCAAACACGATGTCGAGTGACGTACCTTCAACTTGGAGGCGCACTGCTCCAGGCTGGCTGGTATAGGGGCAATAGACTGTTGACACTCGAGTCTAGGAAAAGTGGTCTTGACAGTGCTATCTCCAGCCATGAGGTCTGAGTGAGTGGGTGTGGAGGTGATTGATGGGACTGAGGCTGTCTGTGGACACCTTGCCACATCATCACGTCGCTCCCAGAAATAGACAACTGGCTTGGTCTTCTGGGCATCAGTAGAGTTGGACCCGCCTGCAAAAGCGTCACTTAGGGAATCCTAGAGCAAAAGACAGGCAAAATTTCGACTGAAACTGAAGGGTAGCCTTGTAAAAAGTGGCGGTAGAAGGATAACAAAATACCGTGGAAAGCTGTGGCTCAATCGGATAAGTGAATGCATATGCTGTGTGTTGCGTCTGGATGGTGGTCGTGAAAGCTACGTATGGACCTCGGTGGGACGACGTTAGTGGGGAAATTTCATGATAGAAAGACCTATGAATGAGATTACGGCAGCGATTCATCCAGTACCAAAGAACCTGAATAGGAGGGTAGGCAAGCAGATAAAAATACAACAGAACAAGTAAAAAGCACAACCGCACTGAGTAGAGCAGTTGTATGGATGGCTTGGTTAAAAACGATACTCTATGGACACTAAGGTAATAGCTAAAGACCAGTGCAATGAATCGCAGGTACAAAAATAACAACGATGAAATAAAAACCAGTTTTGGCGGACATGACTATTTTTCCTCAGTTTTGTACATGCATGCGCAGTCACCCATACATAAATAAACGATGTAAGTTGTCACGAGTCAACTCGAACGAGGTTTTCATCCGTGACAGAACTCAGTGAGTCTAAGGACCTGTCACGAATGCTGACTGGCGAAAAACTGCGGATAACAGAGACGGAGCAGATAATACCATAGGCATCACGGCACCTAAGTGAGTTATATTCAAGCGCTCAGTACCAGGGTTGCTAATTAATGTGACGGAAAACGTTTCACACTTGCGTAACAGATAAGTCATGCGTAACTCCATCTACACGTGGCGGAGTACAAGCTTATCAGTGAAAAGTGAAGTGTATACAGTTGCGATAGGGCCGGTGTCACTTTGTCGATCAGAGACCTGACAACTTCGCATTAAACAAGTTAGGGACTGACTGTCTTTTATCACCGGTGCATGTTGAGTGGTATTCACAGTTGGTGCAGAAGCCGAGTGAGCAGCGCTGAGGTTCGCCAGTTGGTGTTTGGCAAGAAATCCTCTGGTGCTTAACTTGAGTGTTAAGTTTGAACCGCTATCGCCGCTCCGAGTTGGACGAAACGGTGAGTTGGCCAGTCGATGACGTGGCACAAAGATATAAAGAAATCGATCGAAGGAGGCTGGTGCATGCCATCTTCGTAGACGGGGCATCGCGACAAGCCACATCAGTGGCTGGAAACCATAAAGGATGAGGCGCAGGAGCACAGACAGTGGCGTTCCTGCATTTTACTACTTGCGCTAAGCAGTTAAAGTTCCACCCCAATTTTAGTCACTTCTTAACTTAAATCAAATTGTAGCCTGTTTGCGTTCCAGTCTGTTTTCCTAATCACTATTTATCATGACGCTGGCGACGTGAATCACCGTAACCGGATCCACTGCACTTCGGTGCCCGGATCATAGTAATATAACGGAATTGAACTGTCGATACATCTTATGTTTGGTATAAATCCGAAGGGTACAATCTGGGAATTATTCGGATGGGAGCAACTGTTGATTCGGCGTCGACAAACGCACCAGTCAGGTAGTCTGTGGATACATGAGTACAATACCGGCACAGGGTGGTAGCCCGGCCATAGTCCATCCCACAATGAAACCACTCTTTGAGACAAAATCGGTCACGAATACTGTGCACACCATGTTCTCAAGCAAATATTAGAAACAGCCTGCGGTCAACAATTAAACAGTGACACTGCATGAGCACGCATCTTACCAACACTCGCACTGAGTGCAGCCAGATCTTGTTAAACTCAGAAACACCCCAAGCTGTTCCGGTATACACCATCGGTCGATTTCAGTCGAGCACCGCAAATACCCTGAAAGCGTGAGTCTGCTGGTTACGCGTGACAGCGGTGAAATAGATATCGGGGATATCGTAATAGTGGTTCCGGCTGTTGGCTCTCCGCGGCTAGGGCGCGCCTTCGGAAGACCCCTGTGAGGCCAACAGCCGAAGTGGGAGGGATCAGGCGTACCGATGTAAGTTCTGTGACGGTCCATAGTGGATGGAGGTGGCGTAGGGCGATCCAAAGCAGAAACATATAACAACCATTCGCCGGAAAATCTGGATCGGATTTTGATGGATAGTGTAATCGGAGTTTCGTGTCTGCCCAAACATTTTCGCATGCCGATCCCCTGTTTAGACTATGCTGATCCCCGACACCGCCTAGTATGGCGTTTAACTATTATCCTGTTTCCACTATGTCCAAATGCCGCTTCACTTCCGTCAGCGGCATCAACCCATGTCTGAACTGCGTTCTTTCCCGACATCACTTTTTACCGTGTCCCGTTTCTCTGTGCCCCTACTTCCAGTTCAGTCACGTCTCACTTCAAATGACTTACACGTACGTCCATTCTTATGTTATGCTTTGGCTACCCGACGGTCGAGGCGAGTTTGCATTGGTCGAATTTCAGTGGGCCATTACATAAACGTTCCATGGGGTCTGTATGTGGTTACAGGCCAGCCTCATTGGTGGGCGCACACCAATTGCTAATTTGCGGCACAATAGCGGAGGTGTTTTCCCACCTCTAGCTGTGTATAATGATGAATGATAATGAATTGCTAATGATCAGCCTGCACGACCTATTCGTACACGGTTATACGTTTTACTGTGGCTTTGTTGAGATTGTTTGACTGTAATCCGGTTCGCGGATTGGCCTATGGATTTGACCCAGAGTTTGCTTTTGCATTGATGGACCTGCTGGTGCAGTTGATCCTGAGAATCGCTAGGGAATTGCCCATTTTTAACATGTGTATTTGTTAAATATCATTGTTATCTCAATTCTGGCTTCCTTCTTGTTGCATTCCCGGCGAAATACGCCTTGCCTGAATCTCCAACCTTTTTACGGAGTCTACAGTAATGACCCGTGGTCGATAGGCGTCCCATAACTGATAAGGAAAGTCCGGTTGCGGTGACAACCAAAGAAGATAGAACAAGTTGCGTTGGATGAGGCGCGAGTTACGTATCACCGCTTGTCTTGTTTGCCTATTGAAGAATAGCACATGAATCGAGGAGTAACGCTTGATTTTGTGGCAGGAAAATGTCGTTGGTCAATGACTAGGGTGCTTTCACGCCGCTTCAACTTCAAGGTTAAGGTCCACGCAACGGACTCCCACTTGGGGATCGTATATTATCTAACAAGAAATGGACAAATTTATTTATGCATTCGACTCGGGGACTTACGAGACATGGTTAGCGATCGGCACTAGCGGCGCATTTGCTTGTCTCACAGCCGGACTACCTAATACAAGTGTATACAGTGTTGGACTATGTGATTTGATACCGACAATTTTGATCACGACAGGATCTCCAGCATAAAGCGGTGGCGGGACCTTTGATATGAAGTAAACACTTCACCATCGAAGGCCGGAAATAGTGCTAATTGCTTCGTGAAAGGTGGGTTTCTTTCGATTGCATAAGTGATAAATACGGCAACATGTTTCCACGTCGGAGATGTGCTTACCAAGCAGCATATGTGAACGTGCTCAAAGGTAGCTTACCATTTCGGTCACTCAGAGAGTTTAATAATTATAGTAGGAAAAATCGAGCGAATCAAAAGGCAGATGTTGATCACAACATCGAAAACATCCGGGGCTTACCTTGTTTTTCCAGTTTGGGTCCGTGAAAGATCCAGTAGCAAGTGCGGGAACAGTATGTGGCAGAGTGGAGCTGATCGACGAGGCTGCGCACTTCGGAGTGACGTTTCTGGGCACTTCGGCGGTTACAGGGTTTGCGGAATTACTGGAAATCCTTCTAGGTTGCAGTTGCGTGTCGGTGAACACGTCAAAGCCGGAAGGATGTGGAACAGGCTAAAAGGTGTAAGTTGAAAACCGTCTCAAAGTGTTTGGCAGAGAGATTAAACGAAGTATGATGAACAACAACAGAGATTGAAAGCCAATCCAAAGGTACGACTTAGGGAGCGAATCACTTCGACTCAAAAACAGTGAGAACTCAAAATTCAAACAGGTGAAGTCCCAACTTGATCTACCTACCTTTTCATCTGGATGGTTGATTTCAACCAGGGGCACGGATAGAGCGTGGGTGTGAAAACTGTACACGTGGGACAATAACTTTTATACATTTTCAAAATGCACCGGAATTCAATTTACCTTGCGTTAGGGAGGAGCTATTCGGTAGGACGTCTGTGGCATTGATCTCACCATAGTCAGCCAAATTAAAAGTACTAGTATAAGGAGCGTATCAGTAACTGCAAACGCGTTTGTCGGATCGGCTCACGGGAGTAACGACTGAACAAATCCAGGGATAGGTAATTAAGAATGGGAAGGACAGATGCACCAGAGTAAGATGAAATTCTCCTGCGCAATTAACTCGGATCGAAACCAGTAGCAATGGTCTTGTAAGCTCGCTTATGTGTAAGCGCAAAAGCAGTTACTACATCAACGATCTTACTGATAAGAACGCATGTTGTTCAGAAATAAGATGAGGGCTGCATCAGTAGGGGTCATCTTTCTAGAGAGAGCGTAACGGCCACACATCAAGTTCATAAAGTCTGGAGACACTAATACTAGGTGATAGCAGGATATAAAAATGTGAATCGTTTTGGCCGACCAGGTCAAACACATTGAAGTAGGGATGCGTGGTCTCTAAGTCTGGTAAGTGTTCAGTAAGTGCACACATTTAGGGGGCACGTAGTGCACGCATAAGCCCTCAAAAATCACAGCTCAGCAGTAACACCCGTTGGGATAGAAGGTGAAAGAAGGCACCAAAAGTTCAGTGGCGACGGAGAGTGCATAACTCACATTTATGGCATATCCGTTGTACAAACTTGGCAATTACGTTCATATGAAGGCGTGGTAGAATGAAGGAACAATGTCGACAATATTCCTACAATTCTGATTCCATTAGTGAACCATACCTATTCGGAGAATTCACAACTAAATGAAAAAGCTGCAACGAAATGAATAAAGACAAAACTTGTGCTAGAGCCTTCAAGTTACAGGTTCACCTAATCTTCAAGTTACAATCGGAAGGAATAAACACAAGCGCACTACAACTTTGTAGAGGTTTGTGAACAGACTGCAAGAGTTATGTAGGTTGTCCAAACTGGTGTGACGAAGTTTCGAGTAGAAAAGTACTGACGGGTTCGAGGTAAAGCTATCTCATCTAGTCACCACAAGTATGCCGCTGCCACGCCAAGAAGACAGTTATCAATGATGGAAACCTTGGTGGAGGACAGGTTTCGAAGCTTTGGGAAAGAGCGGAGGAAAAGAATAGTGTATGTAGTCGTAATTCCAAAATAAAGATGGAACATTGCTCATTACATCTGGTAATGAGTGGGCAACAGGGTGGCAAGTTAAGGAGATGAATACACGCCAGCACAAAACGAAGTAGGGGTACAGATCAGCCGAGGAAACTTGAGGTGAGCTCAAGGAGATTTTTGCGGAAACAGGACGCATGGGTATAAAAGTTACATTAATCGCGGGGAGAGATGAATGCTACTGACAGATTTTAGAAATGATATCAGGGGAAATTACATGCTTCGTACACGCACAAATGAGCGGTAATCAAATACATGGGCGCGAGCATGTTCTGCCGCAGTTTCTCCTCGATTTTATCCGAGTGAATACAACCACACATTTGGACTTACAGAAGCACTGTTTGCAAGAACACCAGAAATGGATGAAGGCGTTGTAATTGGGCAAAGATGATCGTCTGGGCATGAGTTGAAGGATTTTAACTTCTCGTAACAAGCGTCCGCCGGTACTGTTTTCAGCTCATTTCTGGGCTTCGATTCGACGCCAAATTCGGAATCCCTTGATACGGTGAATGGTGGGCGGCTATCCTGAAGAGCAATTGGAACCAAATGTGTGAATAAGAAAGGCAAACGAAAGTGAACAAACAAGAGGCACCAGTGGCCACTTTCAAGTATGCAAAAGCCATAACAAGAACGATGGCATACGCCAGTGGATACCTGGGCTGGGGAAGGCCCATTCAAACACAGAGAATGTCTACCTACGAACGGATGAACGCAAAATGGTTCATCTTGAAGTTGGACTGGTGTGGTGGTGATGGGCGCGTCAAGTAGTGACGAGTAACATGATCGTAGTCAAGTCACAAGTTCGTCAGTTTTGGTAATTGTAAAAGGTTCGCTGGTTCAGGTTATCGAATATGAGTCTAGTTATCGAATTACGGACCACTAGAAGTTTGCTAAACGAGGCACGAGCAAAAATGTGCGTCAACAGAAGATGTATGACAAACGACGCTACTTGTAGGTGTAAATGGCTCAAGAATCTAACATAAAATAGAAAATTCTACAATGTCAATAATAGGCGGAGCACCAACAGCGGCGAAACGGTGTCTTGCGGATAGTAGTACGTGGATCGGACAAAAAGGAGTAGGCGGTACAGTGGCACGTTGTCTGAAAGAGGAGGGTTTTAGTGACCGCTGCTGAAACTCTTACCAGGGTCATGATGGCAACCAGAAAAATGGGTTTAATGTGGAAATGCGTTTGATTGGCACTCAGCTAACGAGCCGATTAGGGAATAATACAAAATAAGAGGCAAGAACAATTGACGATGGGACCAATAAAAACATTGAAAGAAAAGGCGAACGCTATTAGTGTCAGGCGCAGAATGGATGAGGTACTGAGCAATCATCCTGACTAAAGAGGCTCTTGGAGTGGAAGGGATTAGCGTGGAATGTTCAAATAACCGTGTAAAAGAAAGTGCGTAGACAGCCAGGGGGAGCATGAGCTGACTGTGCCAGACGCAATAACAACGCGCCGGTACGTAGTACCGACGCCTAAAGATACTGGGAGATCATCTGCAAGTACATGGAGTGGAACCAGCCACCGGTGTATTGCCAGTCAAATGCTAGAACTAATTGGTCACTGGCCGGTGACGAGGTTAAATGGATAGTGAAAATATACAAAAGTAGCTCGATCTGAATAAGACGATGTAAAGAGTAACAATATCGAAGGTTTTGACCAATATTCTATCGTAATGGAATTGGAGATGGTACTGTCAAGTTGACTGGGTATATGCAAGTTTGGGATGTAAATGTTGAGACCTAAGGAATAAAATCCACAGAGCACATGACATCGTCTGTATAAATTGTGAAAATGGACTCAGAGGTTATTCAGAAGAAGAGTTTACATTTAACCTAGTGACTCAAGAATGTCGAAAAAGAATGGCAGGCGAGTAGGCTGTGGGAGTTTTAACCGACTTCATTGGGTTGCACAGGTTAGGTATGATCAATAATGGACGAATGGAGTTACATCGATTTGGCTCGTAGTAAATCACCCGCAAGCAATGTAAAATGTGCGTAGGAAGAAGGTGTGTTGAAAAAAATACACGTAGTCGTCCATGCAGGCAGTCAATGGATGATCGGTCAATAACCAAAAGAACCGAATAATCCAAAGAATGTACGGTTAAGACAGTGATTCCTGATACCTGCACTAGAAGTTGAGCGTTCTAATGGATGAAGTAGAAAGCACTGGATACGAATAGTGAGCACCTATCTCGAGAACAATTATGCTCAAGCAGGCTGTTTATAGACGGCAAATAATGAAAGCAAAACGTACCGATGCCAAACTTACCTTGCTAGAGTGAAGTGACGAAGCAACGGTCATATTTGTCTCATTGGAGCCTCCGTCGCTAGCCCGATTCCGAACGATACACAGGGCTTCATCCGGTGTGGTTTCCGGACGCCGAATTCGGGTAATAAGGCGAGCCATGCGTGTACGGTACATTGCAGCCACCTGAAACAATCGCATCAAATGTAATGAGAAGACAGGAGAGCACACAGCTTTACGATCCGACATCACATTCGTCGATAACGCGGCAAAAACAAACCGATAACACTGGGTTGTGCAGTGGTTCACCCACGTTATTCAGAAAATCGTGACTTGATGCTTCGACAATGAACGAAATGATGGTGTTACTAATAACAATAACAGAAGTAACAAGTATTAAATCAGCATTTTCTGTAGCTATCTTGCGTTAAACAAGCATTTATGGTCGCTTTTGTGCTTGTGCAGGCCAATATTCTTAACCTTGGGCAGGAGTATTTTACAAGAAGGATGAGTTAGCAGTCGTGAACGGATGTTTGCATTTGGCCGAAAAAGTTGTCATTTCTGCGGAATTCTGCTGGAGAATTCCACAGTAGCCTCGCCCAGGTCATCATGGTGTCGATAAGGTAAAAATGATTGCGGAGTTTTGTTTAATGCACAAATATCTTCGCGAAACTCGAATACTTGGTAAAGAGATGTTTAAGATGTGCAGTCGTCCGTAAGTCGCTCAGAAAGCAGAATTATCGTCCTGTCCATTAGTGAGGAAGCCCTGAAAATGAACAGACGCCGGTTTTTTGAATCCTCGTCATTGAACAGCAATACCTCATAGCTGTAGATATTCTTCAGTCAGTGGCCTGGAGTATGACAGGTGGGCGAGAAAGCTGATTGCCAACGAGCGCGTGTTCGCCACAAAGCGTGCTTGGAACAGATTCCGCGAGCGTGTTGCCACGGCCAAACTGAAAGCTGATGAAATCGCACATCAGATATCATGAGTGTTTCCAAGGACTGACTGGAAGCTGATGAAATCGCGCGGCAGACATCATATAGTTGCCATGCCCCGGGTAGGCGGATGAAGACTGGCGTGCCCGAGCGAGACGGTGAACTGGCCAGACGAGCGGACAGTCAAGTGTGGAAAGTGGGCGTATGAGGAAGACAGATAGCCAAATCTGCCAGGCAGTGTTTAGAGGATTGGTGAGACCGACCTATAAATATGAGCGTTCTCGGTTCTAATACAACTCTGGTCAGCTGAGTTGTCTTCTGCTTTCTTTTCTGTCGAGTTGGCCAAGGCGTCAAGGAGCGCAGGCGTAAAGGCGCAGATTTACCAGCAGGCGTGAAACAACCGGTCGATTGCGGGTACAGCGTTATAACACAGTGTTATGCATAGAGCATGCAACTAGTGGTGTAACAATCAAGATATCAAGTGAAAGCTTTGGTCGGCATAAGAAATTGGAACCTGATCACGGATAGTGCTTCGTAATTCACTTCTTTCCAGTATGATGAGTACTATGCGCATAATGGTATCGCACATTCGCGTTTACCACAGCTCCTATGATAAACTCTTTTGCTGGAGGATGAATTATGGTTGGATCAAACCTACCGTCGCTACGAGACTGGACCTTAACGTGGTGTGACGGTTTGCGTACCTCTTCGACCCACTGAACTATACTGGGTCATGATCATCAGTACACATTAGCTGAAAGTGAGAAACACAATTCTGCTAATGGTGCCGCAATACAAAAATGTTAGTTACCAATACAGACAACAAGAACTAAAAGAATAAGCAACATAATGCCATCATATTATGCATCGGGTGTGAGATCGTTGTTAGAGGGGGAATCTAAAGGGAAGGGATAGACAAAAAACCCCAACACGAACGCCATTGCTGTCGGCTCCTTGCCATGTCAACTAGTGTATCCAAGCAAACTTATCGTCCTTGGGATCCCAACCAAACAGTCGGGACACACCAATCGACGACAACTTCGTAGCAGGGGCCCCCATTCCTATTGACCAATTCATCACTTGGCTTCTCTTCCTCCTCTTTCATCTAGCCCCCGGGCAAGCAAATAACGTATGACGCGGGAGTCGGTGTGCTGGCGCGCGCAACATGTGGCCCAGCCATTCGGGCCTGGTGCGTGATATAACAGTGCTGAGCGTTTCTCTCGCTCTCCCCACACCAAATACGCGACGCCGAACACGCTCATTGCTCAGGCGGTGCTCCCACCAGAGATGAACTAAGCTGCAAAGCAGGCGATGATCGAATGTGACGAGCTTGTTTATGTATGTCGACCTGATGCGCCAGGTTTCACAGCCGTACAGGAGGGTCGAACGGACGGCTGTGTTATAAACTCTACCCTTCAGGGCGAGAGTAATGTCGCGTCTGCGCTACAGGTGGCGAAGATTGGCCAATGCACCTCGAGCTTTTTCTATACGGTTCGTAACTTCGTCTTCGATCTCACAGGGGCTAATATAGCTGTCCAGGTACTTGAATTCCTGAACGACTTCTAGCTGATCACCACAAGGCGTTAACGCAGGGGTGGGTACCTGCTAATCTTGGTGAAGTACTTTGCATTTTGACGGAGCAAAGCATAGTCCAAAACGATAGACAGCCAGTGCTAATCGGTACAGTGCTGCTTGACATGTTTGGGTGCTGTCACAGATTAGGACAATATCGTCCGTGTACTCCAAGTCAAGAAGTCGCTCACCAGGAAGTAGCTCCACACCTTCTAGGTCATGTCCAGCCAGTGCTGTTTCCATGACTTCATCAATAGCGAAGTTAAAGAGGAAAGGTGACAGCGGGCAACATTGTCTCACATCGCTGGTGATACTGAAGGGTGGCGACAGTTTGCCATAAACCATAACTCTGCCCGAACTATGCACGTATAGCGCTTTGATAATGTTTATGTATTTATCAAGCACACCATTTCTCAGCAGACAGTCCCAAAGGGCATGTCGATCGACTGAGTCGAAGGCACTTTTATGTCAAGAAACACGACAACGGTGGGTCGCCAACAACGATGGCGGTGCTCCAACAATTGACGCAAGGTGAAGATGTGGTCGAAGCAGCCCTAACCTCAACGAAACCCGGCTTGCTCTTCAGGAATCTGGCTTTCCCGAGTGCCAGTCTGTCTGTGGAGAATGACAGAGGCAAGCAATTTAGAGGCAATCGAAATCAGACTGATCCCTCTATGATTGCCGCATTCCGATCGGGAGATTCCCTTGAAAATTGGGACAATGACGGAGTGGCTCCAGTCTGTCGGGACTGTCTCCTGCTCCCAAAGTTTCATTAGCAACTCGTGTAAATCATCTATTAGGGCAGGTCCCCGAATTTGAAGAGGGCTGGGGAATTCCATCTGATCCTGCGGCCTTATGCAATTTCAACAGCCTGATCTCATCTTCGACTTCTGCGCGTGAGGGCGGATCCAAGGAGACGGCCCAGGGGAAGGGCGCTCAATGCCCGAAAAAGAATGTCATAACTCAGGTTGGTTAAAATGTCTTGCAAAGCGTTCGGCCCAATGTTCCAAGCATTTTGGAAGGCTGTGGATCGGCTGCCCACTCTCGTCGCGTATGGTATCGCTAACACCAGGTCTCCTGCTACCTGTTTCCCGTATCAGATGATTACCAGCGGTAGCGGCTGTTTCTATCTCCAAGGCACGATGAGACTACCAGGCTTCGCGGTTTTTCTTCAGGCCAGCAGGTAATTTTGTTCTGAGATTTTTGCGAGCCACATTGTATTCGCTTCCAGTCGAAATACGTCGGCGAGTATACATAAGTTCCAGAGACTGGTAGAGACCCAATATCCAGTTTGGCAACTTGATTTGCCACATGAAGACATGCCTGCTGATAGTACCGTTTGACGAATATGCAACCAGTGATCTTCAACGGTGTTCAGTGGGCGCTTACACAGCCCAGATGTCAGCGCACTATGGTATACATTCAGAACATCTGGCTTCGCCAGCTGGCTGGTGTCAATCCGTTCAGATCGACGTTGCGGACGTCCACCGAAACGCACCCGGAGGTCGGCAAAGACAAGTGTGTGGTCAGACTCTACGTTCGTGCCCCAAATCGAGTGACAGTTTTGGACACAGCCTCTCCAGCGGTAATTAATCGCGATATGATTGATTTGCGTCTATGGCTGACCCGAGGCTGGTGGTCATCAAGTCACGCTTCTGCGGGTGCTGTGTCGAAAGTTAGTGCTCGCGAGAAAGAGGCGAGCATCTTCACACAGCTGTAGCAATCGCGCACCGTTATCATTACAGGGGCCTACGCCATGTTGGCCTCTCAGATGAAGCTCAGCAGAGGACAATTTTCCGGCTTGGGCTTTTAGATGACCAGCCAACACCACAGTACCCGTGCTTCTTCTGTAACGAAGGAGCTCGTGAAGTTGCTGATAGAAATAATTTTTTACAGAATCAGTGCTACAGTTTGTAGGGGCGTAGGCCGTAATGACAAACAGGCACCGTTTGTCCCCGCGCGACTTCGTAGCGTGGAACGAGCCAGCTAATCTAACGGCGCACATCTTACTGTGTACTGGGATCCAATCGATCAGGGCAGCTTCAGTCCGGGAACTCAAAACAATGCCGACGCCAGCTTGACCGGCATATGAAGCTGCATAATCGCCAGACAGGCGCAATGAGAATGTGCCGCCAGTGTCGCAGAACCACCAGCCACTGTAACCCCTTGAACCATGATTGCAAGGAAGTCGAGGTAGTTGATCAATTCACTTACCTTGGCAGCTGCATTAGGAACGATAAGCGCATAAGCACTGAAGTCAAGTCACGTACAGAAAAAGCGAGAACTGCTTTATTGGATCTGCGAAGTCTGTAGCGTCATAATAAAGCAGTTCCCCTTGGTATAAAAGGCCGTGTTCACAAGGCCATTGTGAGAGATGTCCTATTCTATGGGAGTGAGAACTGACTGTTTCGACCTGAGAATCTGAAGCGCCTTCAAGTCTTTGATCATCGCTGCATGCAAAAAATTTTCGATGTCGGGTGCGCATCGATAATTTGCATTGGCGAGTGTCAGGTGTGGATTCGCAAAGTAGTACATTAGAACAACAGATAGCACTGAACAAGTTGCGTTGTCTTGGGCATGTACTACGTATGCCTGGTCATCGAATACCAAAGAGGACCATATTTGTTTGCCAGATGTAGCGTGGCGCAAAGCGCGAGGTATGCAAAAATTAACTTGAT